TCAGAAACTTACAATCTAAGTTGTAATTATTGTAAAGCTTTTTTTAATCTATTTAGGCAAATTTAAGAATACATACTATCTAATCTTTATATAGAATTAAATGAGCTACAAGAATATTTGTTATATTATTTGGCACATCAAACTAGAAAAATTATTTAAACACACAATTATATGCTCAGTTAGATGAGCTTGATAAAAAAGGCATTGTAATTATTATAGACTATAAAATGAATATTTTACTGAAAAGCATATGTAAAACAAAGCAAAATTTTTTCAAAAAGAAAGAATGATCATTGCACTTGATATTAATATATACTTATTTACCTAATAACATCAATTTGCAAGTTCATATTTTTGATTATTGGTTAACTAATTCATGCAAAGATGCATGGTTTATTGCTTTGTCATTATATGCTGCAATAACTAACCTTAATTCTCAGCCAGAATGGATTACTTTTTTATTTGATAATAGGCCTATTATTATAATGCAGATCTAATGATGATTATAGGATAATAAAAGAAATAATATAATATTCATATTAGAAAATAGACTTTTCTTAAAGCAGAAGAGACTAAAATAGCAATTGATTCTTATTATGCACAGGTTTGATCTACTAATTTTTTTTTTGATGCATTTAATAAATTTACTTTACTTTATCATTAGATATTTTTAGATTTTATATATTATTAGTTATTGTGTTCATTTATAATTTGATATTATATATGATCAGATATTGAATTAGTAATTGAAGAAATTTGTAAAACATCAGTAGCTCATTTAGAGCCAAAACATACTAAAGGTAATATAAGTAATATAAATATATGAATAGAGCTTTTAATAAGCTAGTTAATATTTTAAAAACAAATAGAACTAGATATTATATATTCAGAAATAATATCAAATATAAATTTGAATATTAATTTAGATATAAACACATTCCAGTATGATATACTAACTTGTGTATATTATTTATTCATTACATTTATATTACTCTTATATTATCAAACCTAAATGTATATGACTCTTAATTAATGATAATACTTAGTAATTTATTTAGTTAATTAGAAAGATCTCTTATATGTTATATTCAGTGTTGGGTCTGTCTATATGTCCAATTATTTTGTTCTGAATTAGACATATAAAATTTTATATGTCTAATTGTCCAGTTGAGAATGACAGATAAACAAAAGAAAATAGAGAGAAAAAGAACATTGTTATCTAAAATAGCAAACTCATGCAATTCTTATATGTTCAATTTTTGTTTAAGACTGTTAACACTGGTTATATCCAGTTTATAAATAAGTGCTGTAGAGTAAAACCTAGAAGTGAATCTTTAAGTTTATTACTATAGCAGACTTAGTTTTATTATATATTATAAAACTAAGTTTGCTACAGTGATGAACTTAAAAATTCACTTCTAGGCTTCACTCTGCAGCACTCAAATTATATTTAAAGTAAGCTACTTTATTAACAACTATATATAAGAAATATCAAAGTATTAAATATCTTAGATTAATTTTTTTATTAGTTTCAGATAAAAAATAAATCAATACTTTACCAGATAATTCAAACTGGTTCTCATGAAAGTGGCTATTTGAAGGTGATTATACAGGTTATGTTCGAGCATGTGCAATGCCAAATATCAGTGAATGGAACAATTTCTTATCTGTGAAGTTAGAGAAATTAAAAAAAAAAAAAATACAAAAACCAAATCCTCAAGTTTCTCAACATTTAATTTATAAGTCTTCATAATTTGTTTTACTACTAAATAAATCAAATAGCAATACTTTTTATTATTATTTTCTACAAAGTTATATTGTTATCTAATTTACTATACATTTTAGAAGTTTTTTCTTATTACTTAACAACTGATCAACTAAACCTACTAAATAAAGAAAAAAGGTAATTAATTCATTTATAGTATTAATTCATTTATAGTAATAATTTCTTATATATATAGGCTAAAAGTTTATATAACTTACTATTAAATAAAAAGCATATACAGAGAATTTTTACTTACTTTGAGTTAGGCATTAAAGAAAAACAAAAATTTGGAAAAAAAAAGTAGTCAAAAGAATTAGTAAACATGTAATAGCTCATTTAGAAGGATACTTTTTAGCTAATAACACTGATAAAAGCAATAGATATAATGCAAAAAAAATGTTGAAGAAATTAAGAGAATTGGCAAAAACAGGTAGTTTGGAGAAAAGCAATATTTCTAAAATGTTGATTATACAAAATTGAATAGCAAGATATGTAATATAACATAAGCAGAAAATAACACAAATAGCTATAACAAATATTGACAAATAAAGTTTGTGTATATACATATCTGAATTGCAAAAATATATAAATTTGAAGATAGAATTTGGTATCTTTTCAATATAAAGTTTTTAATAAATAAACTTTTTAAAAATATAATATATAAACTTTATTTTTGTGATTCTATATAATTAATTGTACTACTTTTTAATAGAACTAGAATTTAATTTGATCTAGTTATATTAGAGATGAAATTTGCTATTTTACTCTTTTTGTTAATGATCTGCAAAATTTTCTTCACAATATACTAATTAATTTTTCTGATTCATATGCAAATTACAAATTAACTTTAATTTATTTTAATACTTTAAATTACATATTAATAAGTTAATTTAATATTATATATATTATATTTAATCTTATAAAATACATTACAATATATATATATAAAATAATATTTTTTAACTAACAATAACTAGATAAAAATATTCTTGATACTTTTGCTTTTAAATAGTTTTATATTTTATATTTCAAGTAAATTTTATAAATACAATTGATTTATATACTTAATTATATTGAAATATTAAATGTAACTTATTATAAAATTAAAAAAATCTTATTATAATTATAACTTTAATTTAAGAACTTATACATATTTAGTAAAATTATATTAATAACTTCATAAATATATTAAAAAATTAGTCAAATTAGCTGTAAGCTATATTAAAATCTGATGTTTTTATGTTTTTAAAAAAATATATCTTTGAATTAAAAATATTTATTACTTTTAATATATTTTTTATAAAAAATTTTTAAAAGTATATTGCTTAATAAATATGTTTTCTATATAATATAATATTGAATAAAGTTAATAACTAAAAAAATAGGTATAATTTAAAATTTTAAAAAATAAATAAATAAATATAAAAAACAAGCAAGTTTAAAACAAAAATTTGAATAAATTACTAATATTATTTAAAAAATTTTAAAAAATAATAACAAAAATTTTCATTATTGAAAATATAAAATTATTTTTGAAAACATTAAATTAAATAATTGTATTTTTATAAAAATATATAAATTTCAAAATAAAGAGTGTGATGACTTAGTGAAGTGATCAGATTGTCAACTCCTAAATGACAGGTTTAGAGTTTAAATCCTATAAATGATGAATTTTGAAATTATATTTGTGTTATAGTAACTGATTTTGTCAATTAGTTGGATTAATATAGTAGTTTAATAGTTAGCTCTAACTGCAAATGATGGTTTAGGCCAAAGCAATATCAGATTAGCTGTAAGTATAAGATACAAAAAGCTCTGATAGATTTAGTACAAAGTTAAATATGACTTAGTGATCATGATATATTTTCATCAGTTTACCAATGTTATTGGTAAGGCATGATAAATATGAGATCAGAGTGTTTAAATAAAGAATCTACAAGCAGGTCTTAGGTATAAAAACTAGTATAGAACTTTTGAGCAGACTACCTAAATTAGACAATGACTAAAGTTGTATAAGTAACTAGTTGTATACTCTTTTCATGATTGTCATTGTATCTGTTACATTAATAGATGCTAGCCAATATATACCATCAATAAACTCCTGAGTCACATATAGTTACCTTAGCATTAAAAAAAATAAAATAAAATTCAAAATAAACTTCCAATACTAACTATAAACTAAGCTAAACCATCCTAATTATAACATTAAGTACAATTTATTATTTTGTAATATTATAATATTTAAATAAAAACTTTTAAAAAAAATTCATATAAATCGATAAATACATATGATTTATTGAATTATATATGTATAAAATATAGATAAACAAATATATAATAGGATAAAAATAATGTTTACTATTAAACAAAACCTAATTACTAAACCTATTGTTTATAAACTTAAATTGATCTATTGAATTTAAGTATGCTTTAACAAACTAAACTAACTTAAAAATATAAAAGTAGTCAATAGAAGAGAACCAAATTTTTCTAAATAAAAGTTTTCTTAATAAAAATTTTTTTATTTTAATTTTATAAAATTCCAAAATTAAAATAAAAAAATTTTGTTAATTTAGAAATTAAAAAAATTTTACTAAAAATGATTTGTTCTTTTTCTATTAATTCTCCTTCCCATATATCAAATATAAACCCCAGATCTCTTACGCGAACAAGCTTGTCTTATTCAACCACCTAACCAGAAATCTTAATCTCTAAAAAAAAAAGACAACCGTTCTGTTAATAACTATTTTTGTTTTTTGAAATTCAAATGTAACTTTTCTGTACCTTTTTCAGTAAGCTAACTTTTATGCGAATAAGATTATAAAAGATTAATTTTGGAGTTCGCTTTCTAGCTTTTTTTTTTTTGAAGACAGAAATAATGTTTGTGCCGATTTTTTGCTTCTGTTCCCAAAAATTACTTTAAAGTGTATAAATAAGTTACCCGGGCAATTGATATACACTAGCCAATCAGACGAATTTCAGCCCATGAATATCAGGCAGCATCCTGAAATGCTAAATTATTTTAGCCGTGCCGGGCTCACTATTAGCCTTATAAAGATTTAATATATCTAATCCAGATGATGATAAAGCTTCATGTAACAGTACTTTTTCCAATAGCGAAAAACTCTTAAAACCTTATATCGATACAAGTGAGTTTATTATAAATTAATAATACAGTAAATATTGATATTCACACAAACTTGCTCCATCGAACAAATAAATCATAACGATAATAATGGTTAAAAAAGCTATTGCAGTTCTTCGACCTGATCAACCAGATGGCACTGTTAACGGTACAATCATTTTCACTCAAGAAGCTGATGAAGTTAAGGTTGATATAGATATTAAAGGGCTTCCAGCCGGAAACAAAAAGCATGGATTTCATATTCAGTGAGTATCCGAGTATTTTATTCATGCTAACAATGATATATATATAAATGTTGGCAAAATACCATATGAGTAGTAACGAAACTTGATAGTTGCAAATGCTAATAAGTTTCTTTTATGTGGTCGACCAAATTACGTTATTCATATGGTTATCTTTATTTCATATATTGTACGTCAGATTAATATTTGCGTCAAATTAAAAATAATCCAAATCCACTAAATCATACTCCACAATTTTATTCTTACGCAAATTTTATTCCGACGCACAATATATATAATGTATATGATGTCATAATCATCTAACACCTAAAAAAAAATTAGTGAATTCGGTGATAATACTAACGGATGTACCTCTGCTGGAGGCCATTACAATCCACATAATAATAATCATGGTGCTAAAGAAGATGAAAAACGTCATGTAGGTGATTTGGGTAATGTTACTACCGTGGATGGTTGTGTTAAAGAACAAATCATCGACAAACAAATCAGTTTGGATGGCGAGTGCTCGATCATCGGGTATTTTATCATTTTATTTTTTCGAAGATCAACCATCCTTTATTCTTGTAATTATGATTAATAAATATTTATATGGTCTGTATTAAAAAAAAGACGAACCGTTGTTGTGCATGAAGACGAAGACGATCTTGGGAAAGGTGGTCACCAACTTTCTCTTACTACTGGTAATGCAGGTAAACGCCTTGCCTGTGGTGTTATTGGTATGTTTATTAAATAATATGCATAATTGTTTCTTATTGATCTCACATTACTTAAGCTAATCTATCTGTATACACAATAAATAGGTATTACGAAATGATCTTTGATCACAATTGGAAATTTATCAAAACGAATGTTTAAAAATATCAATTCTTGACGATTTGGTCCCTCCATCTTATTTTTTACGTTTATGTTTTTCAAAGAATGAGCGTTTTTTTTTTCTTAAACTATAAAAAAATTAACTGGAAGACTTAATAAAGTTACCATGAATATTATGAATATTTTTACACAAGTATACAATTCAAAAAAGCTGTATGAAAACCAAAGGTTCTTCAAATACTTTGATATCAAATTAATACCAATAACAAATGAACTGTTCTCTGCCACTAGCTTTACATTATTTAAAATAATCAAAACAAACCGTTAAATAATCTTAGAAGTCTGATTCTATTGTATGCTATTAATATTCAATTACCAGATGCCCCAAAGGCTTTCCAATTCATAACAAAACCTTGAACATGCAACTGCAGCAGAAAGTGGATATTGTGAGATACCAATTTTTTCATCTACCCAACTGTCTGCAAAATTGTCTACTCCATGAGCCATAGCTCCGATGGCAATACAAATTGAATGATCAGAAGGCAGAGTGGGCAAATACTGTGAAAGACGAACTGGTGTAGCATCGTATGAAAGTGCTGAGGAAAAAAAATTGACCATTTCATCAGATGATTAAATCTTTCTGTATAAGTAAATAACAAGAAAACGCCTACCTAATTTCACACATCTTGTCGGAAGATATTGTGTTATAGGATTTTTAACCACACGTAGTAGCTTTTCTTTACCGTCCACTGAATGAATACTTAGTTTATGAAGAAGTTGTACTACATAAAACATGTTGTTAAAAGATATCCAACTCGAATTTAACGATAGCGTCGCACAACCATATATATATACTTCCCGCCCAAATCCCAAACTCTGGCCAAACTAATATTCCAAAAACTTTATTAATATCATTTAAACAAATGATATAGCTATACATAATATATTTACAAAATATCATGATTACTTTTTTGATTTAATTTTTTGTAATTTTTTTTTTTGAGTTTGGGATTTGTCTAGGCTTTGCCGGCAAGTATACCCGTATAGTCAGTCACCTTCCATATAATCACATCATTTAACTAACTACTGTAATTAATGTATAAATATTACCGTAAAATCTCGAAATAGCGGGCACGGGCGTTATTTCGAATTTTGGCTTAATGCTGGGAAAAATTCGAAATAAAGCCCATGCCCGCTATTTTGAGATTTTACAGTATATGGACCTTTTTAGAAAATTACTATGATCCCAATTAGGTGGTTATACAGTTATAAGGGTCGTGGCCATAACAAAATTATTATACGTACCCATTAAGCCAGCAAACCGTTTAAACGTTCTGGGAATTCGAATATGCGGGCTAACTTCAATTAATACGTTATTTTCTGTATGGATATAAATTTGCATTAAACCAGCTTTGTTTAGAGGACTGTCCAATAAAGCCATCATGCACTAAGAAAAGAATAAATTTGATGTGAAAAACCGCATATTAAGTATAGTCAAATATTTAGGAATTATACCTGATGCGTAATATCTGGTCGGTAAACTCTATTAATGCCCAACTTCCGTAGCTCATTATGGTGGTCGTCATAATTAATCAATTGATATTTCGGTGGCTTAGTGTTGGCGACCTTATAAGTTTCCAAACACGCTTTGTCTAATACAACGATCAATCTTCGCGTTGACTCTTTTTCCTCAAGAGTCTTTGGAAGTTTCGGAGTTTGTGGAACAAGGAAAACATTGGTTATCGCATATGTATTGTTGTTGCTGCTACCATTCTCGTTTTTTACGGACGTAGTATCGGTTATTTTTTTCTGAATGTTTACTTCCTCGGTTTGTACAGCAATAGACACGAATTTTGATTTATCGTCAACTTTTTGTTCCAGCTCGTCTGCTATATCTTTATCCAACACCTTTGTTGGTGAAACACTAGACTGTTTCGTCTTTGTTTTTTTCTTTACTGGGATAGCTTCTTTTTTATTCTTTTTACGTTTCTTCTCGTCAAGTGTCATTGTGTTGAATCTAGTTTGTCAAAGCTATTCGATTTAAATAGAAAAAAAGATCTGGTGTAACAACGTGACACAACCAGTCTGCATTAAATATATAACGCTAACCTTTAAACTTTTAATTCTGGTCAAAATTAAATAAAATAATAGATATTCTAAAATCAAAGCATAGAAATATTAGTCATAAATTGTGTCTCACTAACACAAATTCGTTTACATCGTAATCCACAATTTTCATATTTAGAAACAAATAATTTTCGAACTGAAATAACTTTTCAAGCGATTATTTAATATTAAAAAATTGAGTTAATTACATTTTTCGATTCACGTGATTGAGATTAGATTTCAGTTAATTTGTGAATAAGTATTCTAATGTCAGCCGGAAACAATGGAAACAATGACTGCAGATGCAACTGATCGATTAAATCATCAACTAGTTAAATTCCGAGATATTCCGTCTATTCAGGCTGGTTCGTGTTGGTTTCTTTGGCCAATCAACAAATTTAGTACATGATAGAAAAATCGATTAGAATTATTTTATATACAGCATGTAATTTTAATTTATATCACTATTTATACTAATTTATGCTAACATATCTTGTATTATTATGGCAACCTATAAATTCTAATTACATGCCTTATACAGTCTTGCACAATATTATCTCATGCGAAATATATAAAATATATAGCTTGTTTTATGTAAAATGTATGGTTTATTTTGTAAAATATATATATAGCTTATTTTGCATAACTTGTTATTTTTTGAAACCATATATGCTATTTTAAAAAGCTCAGTCTCCTATGAATTAATAATTGCCAAAAAAAATAATCATGTAAAATATAGTTCACCTTTCTTATACGTAGAAGTATTAACTTGCTTTAACAAATTAAATAACCCAATTTCAATCTTATTATATCGGAATTTGATAAATAGAGAAACCAATCTGTCATAGATCTGGTCAAATTTGCAGATCATTTGACCAAGTTTGAATTTGTTTGACTTTAAATCTGGTGAAATGATCTGCAAATTTGACCAGAGCTATGACAAATTGGTTTTCCTATTTATTAAATTTCACAAATCGGCCGATATGTTAAAATTTGATGCATATATAGCACTAGCAAAAAGATCTCAACTTTAAATAAGCAAGTTAATTAAATCATTAATTAGAATCTAAATCTTAAAATTGCAAATATTAGGTTTTTTAGTATTTTAGATTTTTTAAACTAGAATGCTCATAGCATTTAAAATGCAATTATATCACTTCTTTTTAATTAAATAATATGAATTACTTAACTAAACAAAATATTAAAACATATTATAGTTTATTTGTCAAATTTAACTAAAAAAATTATTGATACTTCAATCTATAATAATAATGCATCAAACTTATTTTTCTATATATTCAATCCAATTTTCTTAGTATTACAACTCCTTTTAAATTTTTATATATTCCTCTGACATAAATCATCAGATTTTTCAAAATTAATAATAATCATCTGTATGACTCATTGTTGACAAAAAATTTTTTTTTCTTAAAACTTACTATATTTGCCCTTCAAAAATTTTTTTTATAGTTTTATTTGAACCTACTAGTATATCCATTATTTTTTTTTTCTTGATTTTTTTTTTTTTTTTTTTACTATGAAACAAAAGAAACAACTTATTAATGAAAAATGCAACTAAATTATTGGTGCTTGGAAAACCAGTATGAAGCATATAAGAATCGCAAAGACCCTAAAACTTTCCAGAAGCACTGTCAATAATGTAATAACATACTACAGAAAGGCTGAAAAAGTTGTACTTTCACTTTGTCCTGAATGACCTTCTAAAGTAACTGAATATAGTGTTCGACATCTAACTTGCATTTTAAAAAAGGACAGAAAGATTATATTAAAGGTTTTGACAAATAAATTCATTGAAGCAACCTCTGTAGAAGTATCTACACAAACTATACAACAGCACCTCTATAATGAAGAGTTTTATGGTTGGGTTGGTTTAAGAAAACTATTTATAGATGAGGAGTCTCATATGGCTCATATAAATTGGGCAGATACAAAAGTAGGTTGAAATGAAAGATGAAAAAACATTATTTGGAGCAATGAATCAAGATTTGAGATGTTTGAAGAGAATGATCATAAGTATGCTTGGAGGAAACCAAAAGAAAAATATAATGTTAAATGTTTAGTTTCAATATTTAGGTCAGAAAGGGTAGGCATAATAGTTTGGAGGTGTTTTAGCATATACAGTCTTGGATCTTTAGTTTAGGTTCACAGTAGGATGAATTCGAAAAACTATATAGAAATTCTTGAAACTTGTTATGTACTATATTTAAACAATTTAATAAACATAGTCAGTCAAAAAAATTATGTGTTTCAAGATGACAATGCTAAAATTCACACTTCCAAATTTTTCTAAAAATAGTTTAACAAAAATTGTATTGTGCAACTTCCATAGCTCTCATATAGTCCTAACCTCAATCCTATTGAACATTTGTAGGATGAATTAGAGCATCGTATATGTAAGCACATTCCTCTACCAACTGATGAGTCAGAACTCTTCAATTTGCTTCAATAAGAGTGGTTTAAAATTGATAGTTCAATTTTAAAAAATCTTGTTGAAAGTATGTGTCAATGTATTCTTGCTGTAATTGCCACTAATAGGTACCCTACACAGTATTAAATTATGTAAATAAAATTTATATATATAGTTGCTAAATAAAAAATTTTTAATCTGAATTAATATGTAGTTTGTTAAGAATTCACAAATCAAAAACCTACAAAAAAAAATGATCGTCATATTATTACTAAAAAAATCTGGTGACTTATGTCAAGGGAGTGTACAATTCAAAAACTTTATTTTAAATTTATTATTACATATATATACTAATATACAATTTAATAATTTGCAATAACTGTTAATAATATTAATAGTATTAATAGACAACAAAAAATTTGAAAGTATATCAATATTAAATCAGAATAATAGCATTACATATATGTAAAGTTAATTAAATAACTTATAATTGGTAATCAAATATTTTACAAATACACTGTAATGGTATAAAAATACAAATTTTGAAATAAAACATAAAAATATAAAAATATTTTAATACTAAAATCTGAATTATTTAAAAGTTAAATAATAATACAATAAGTATTTGTATAAAAAAATAATCTTGAACAACTAGTGCAAAAAATAAAACACTTGACAAATTATTTATTAATATAATAGTATAAAAATAAACATTTATATATTTAAGAAAATTTGTTAGCAATATAAAAAAAGATATCTATATAAAAAAATTACATAATTTTTATTTTTTTAATATATGCATAACCTAAAATTTAATCTTTATGCTTTTTGTATTATGAGTTTGGTTAATCAAATTTGTATTTTAATCAAATTTTATATTTTAATATATCATAATCTAGCAATCAGATCTTGATAATTAGTATTAATTGAATTATCTTATTAAAATAATTTGAATTATATCAAAGTTATCAAAATTCAATTAATAGATTATAAAATATCAATAATAAATTAAAATATACAAATTTGATTAAAATATAAATTTAATTAACTAAACTTAATAAAAATAGATTAGAAATCAATTAAATTTTTATATATTATATAAAAAAAAATTTAGTATATAATAAAAAATTATCTTACATATTTCTATTAATAATCAATAAATAAAACTCTTAAATTTATATAATATATAATTTTAACTATCATCTGGCTTTGCTCTTTCTAATTTGTTAACTTATAAACAATATTGAAATAAGTTTTGATATTCTTTAGAAAAAGATGCAGGCAATAAATATATAACTAAATGTTTCTATTATAAATATAAGCTATCTAAAAGGTCTAAAAAGCTTTATAGTCATATTATTGCATATAGTAAATGCTCTATTACTATAAAGAATAATTATATTCAAAAGGTTACAAGTTCTATTTCTAAATTTTATAAAACAAATTTAATTAATTCAAATTAAGAACAATCAGAGTATATTATTAATTACAAATAATTTATTAATATATAAAATACTTAGCTAACAAAGTTTTTATAATTTAAATAATAGTTTTAATAGTCTTTTTTCAGCTATATTAAAATGCTAAAAAATTTAATAAATTGGGTTATCAAGCCAATTTTACAAAATAAATAATTCAAAATTGACAAAAAGCTACTTAATTTTATTGTTTATAGAAACTATTTTTTTTTCTTTTTGACTAGTCTTGCTGAGATTCTTTAGCATGTTTATTATATTTTTCAAACTAATATTCTTAATATACTCTCAAATACTAAACTTCAACCTCTCCTAGTCTGTATTTTTAAACTTTTTAGAAGTGACTATTGCACTAATTTCTGTTAGTATCAGAAGGCTTTGCCAGGCTCTATTAAGAACTGGCTGTTACTATAAGTTTATGTAATATCTCTTATTGTTAAATTTCTAGTCTCATATTATATCTCATAATTTCAGTTATTCCAAATTAGACTCCAACTCATGTTCATCACTATGTGGTTTCTCAACTGCAAATTACTTGCTATTTCTGGAAATAAGTCCATTCTTTAGATATTTCAAGTTTTTAGTTTCACAATGTTGCAGTTTTTTTTTTGGGATAAGTAAGAAGATATCATTTAGAATTAAGTATATTAGTAATAGTTTACTAGTTTTTGATATACTAAAGAAAAGAGCACCAAACTTATATAAGTCAGATGAATGCAAAGAGTGTTATGCAGATTAAAAAACATTAATTCACTTGCTTAGATATGAAAAATATAGTAATTATTGAAGCAATATTGAAGAATTAGTATGTTAGTTAGTATAGAAAAAACTCAATAAAACAGATAAAAGCAAGATAACAAAACTTGACTTAAATAAAATATTAGTTTGCAAAACTGAAGTAGATAAAGTTAAGCATTAAGAGTTATATATATGTAGCCTAGCAATAAAAATATGTTTAAGGAATTATATACAAAACAAGTTTTAAGAAAAGGCATAAG